TTCGTGGGGGCACTTTGTAACATTCGCTTGGATTTGACCGACGAATGAGTGGAGTCAATGAATATCCATGAAAGTTCAAGAAGACTCGTTCGGGAGAAGATCGGTGTCCAGTTTTTGTGACTAAGATGCAGATTAGAGATTTGCTTCCTTGTTCGATGGTCTGTAGCTGGTCAGTTGGCATTTCCGGATAAACAACTTCGCAGCGAAGGCTTTCTTCCTTTCCCCAGTAGCTGAACAAATATGACGGTGTAGGAACGAATTCCGACATCAGATATCTGTTTGTAATCAAGGTTTTTGGAGGTTGTCAGTGAGTTTTTCTTAACTTCCGGAGTAATCCACACTTCAGCCACCGGGTCTATGTCCTTGGGAGCTTCTGGTGGCATTCCAATAAACATGGTTACAGGCATCGTCATCCACAGCAGACGCATCAGCCGAGTAGTGGCTGTCTTTTGTAGTAGATAGGTGGGTGTGTTGACGACCATATTGTATAATATGTCTGTACATTTATGCAAGTCCACACAGTCATATTGAATGGCTTGCTTGTTCTGGAGTATCGGAACACTGTCTCAAAACCCCTCACGCCTGCCTAAACAACTATTTTCCAGGCAGTCCTTTCAGATCTTCCCATGATCTAAAGTGACGTTACAGTTTTTCATGCCTGACGACGATCTGGCAGTGGAATTTCGGGGGTCGCTGAGTTCCTACTCCATTCTCCTGCTGACCGTGGGTCGGTTGTTTCGTGGTGCTGGTTGGTTTCAGCCATTTATCTTAAATAGCTCAGCTAGCACAGTTGATTTCGCGTCCGTGTACACTCTATTACAGTAGTGTTTCGTCTTTTAAAAACTTCGGCATTCGGTACCTAGTATTTCAACTGAATCTGAGGGGTTTTTCACGTTTCGTGCGAAATCGGTCAGTTACCCTAATATGCCACCTGTATGGTGACAGGGTTTCGCTGCTGTATATTGGTGAAAACGTACAGCAGCTCGAAACACTGCAGCCTTGGCATCTATGTGCGAGTGTTCGTTTTATCATCGCGTTTCTCCGGACGATTAACTACTGTACCAGTTTCATAATGCGTTGAGTTCACTTTCAGGCGTTAATGTGCTTTCGAGGTGACAGAAATTAGCACTATTTTAAAACTATTCGTTTGATTGTATGGTATTTTGTTGATCTTCTGATTCGCACTTCTAAACAACAAACATGTTATGATCGTTGACATTTCAATCAAAGCAAGGTAACTCTGAACCAAATGCCACAGCAGTCGCTGTATCTCTGTTTCAGGATGTGAAAATAAAACGGTGCAAACGGTAGCACACGGACATTGAAATTTTGCAGCAGCGTTCTGACCGAAAGCCGCTTTGGACTGAATAAATGGCCCGTATTGAGTTAGTATGGCATCTGTTCACTGATGAACTGCCCATGGCCGATGGTTGTAATGCACGGATTGAGCAGGGTTGCGACAAGGACACAGCCGTACCTCCGAGGTCGGCGTTCATAAATGGCCGCACCCGGGCTTCCACCCTATGCGAAAGGCTTTGATGACTCAGTGAAGCTTTCTTAGAGCGATCTGGAATGTTTCACCGTTGACCGATTCGGAGGCTTTGCTGAATCCACAAATGTCCATGGAGCATTTGATTTATTTCGCGACATTTTTGTCGTATCTGTCTTGCAGCAGAGATTGGGTGGATGGTAATTCGTCAATTTCCAAATCCACTATGTTTTTCACTGACTTTTTCCTCCATGATACCAGTGCCCACTTGACTGAGCGTGATGCGAACCAACATCATTTAGAATGGAATACTGAGTAGTTGTCTCTCTTCGAGCAGAGAAATTGTCGCTACATCCTTGAAGTCTAAAGGAACATGTGCAGGATGTGCAAAGTATGTGGAGGAGCTCGTTCCGCTGTGACGATTCTCTCAGTTTGAATAGCTCCCTGAGCATGTCATTCTGCTCACTGTTCCGTTACCATAGGCAGATCAGCCAGGTAGTTCTTTGCTGTATTCTGAGCTCAAGAATTGAGCCAGTTACTTTGGTATGCAGTGACGATCAACATGACTGCTCTGTCTGTACTACTGAAACTATAGGTAGCCACAAACATCTGAGCAGTTGAATAGCGTTGAAAATTGGCATCCCAAAGCCGCTAAAATGTGCTTGAACTCCTCAAATCTCCTGCCAGTTCAGTTGCCTTTTATCACTTTGGGATACCGGACTGTCTATCCGCGTATTTCCTCCAACCAAGCAACGAATCCCTTACAACAACGGTCATCCACATACAGTGACAGCTCTTCGCTTAGTTCAGTTCCTTTTCTGCTTTTCAGAAGCTTGATCCTGACGCCTGTTAGATGCTTCTTCGTTGCTGCATTTGTAAGATTTTGGATCACTTTGATACTTGTTAAATTCTCCCTAATCAACGCCGATTTTTCTGAGTCACCCTCAAACGTTCGCCTCTGTTCTTGCTTTGATCCGGTCGTACCAACCAACCGGGTTCGTGTGTCCGTATTCGGGCCCTTTGACCTTCATTTGTGCTTGGGGAGTGGCTATCAACCGGGCCGTGCATAACAGCCTCATAATTTTAGTACAGTTCCCCTAATCTGCAGTTCTCTTACGGTCCATTTTACTTTTGTTTCATGACGGAACATTCTTCCACGTGCAATTTGGCACTTGTCAAGGCATGATTCGTAGTGCAGTCAGCTCTACGCATCACTTTTACGGTCAGCTCCCCATTTAGATCTCCCTGCTGCACAAATGTACGATCGATACGATGTCCAGCTCTACTGCCTGCATGAGTCTGCCCAGCAAGCGGTGTACACCACACATTGAACCACCTGTTTGTTATCGGAATTTCCGATACATCACCAGTAATCGTCCGCTGGTATCCCTCTTAAGCTCGCTATCAAACTGTCTTAGTGCCTACTCTCAGGCTCTTGAACCCTTGCTCACCAACCAATTAAGTACATATCTCATTAGGTCCAGTAGCTGATCGCAGATTCTGCTCCTTTCCTCCTCTGAGTGTAATATTGTGCTGTAATTAAGTGGTGTCTTCCTTCTTGACGACTTGCTTATCTCGATTTTGGTGGAGTTTGAGGGTCACAGTACATTTCGAACATTCTGGGATTATTTCCAGAAATCTTACCTTTCTGGCATGTTGCGGGGACGTAGGCGATTATAACTGCGAAGAACCTGACCGTTGACAGTCATGATCGTGAAATCGAGTCGATTCAGCTTGGTCAATCGATCATTTTTTTTATTGGTATGGCTGGCAACTAATTAACACCTAAGTGGTGTCTTCCTTCTTGACGACTTGCTTATCTCGATTTTGGTGGAGTTTGAGGGTCACAGTACATTTCGAACATTCTGGGATTATTTCCAGAAATCTTACCTTTCTGGCATGTTGCGGGGACGTAGGCGATTATAACTGCGAAGAACCTGACCGTTGACAGTCATGATCGTGAAATCGAGTCGATTCAGCTTGGTCAATCGATCATTTTTTTTATTGGTATGGCTGGCAACTGCTAAATTAACACCTTGTTCCCGCCGTTTCATTTTGTTTTCCCACTCTGGCAAATTGTGTAATCGAAATGTGCCTGTCATAACTCCCTTTGCTCTTTCAGTAAGGCCTCATTGGGTACAGTGATGTCTGTCTCGTAGTGTTTGAATTCCTCATTGAGATTGGTTCATCTTTCAGGCCTATTCTCTCCATCCGTGTCCAGGAGAGTCTCCACATTCCAAGTCGCAGGCGTATCCTTATTGATGGTTGCTGAGATTCGAGATGTGGGTATACTCTGGTCGATGTGTTCCGAGCCTGAAACTTTAAAGTCCGACCCACAATGGACCTTGTTCATGTACACATATAATGTATATGATCCACCCATCGTAGTTTGCTAAGATTTTTCCGTCTAAACGCCGTTCCATCCTTTTCAAACTGCTCGGCACTTTACAGCTGTCGAACAAGCCAACTGGACATGACTGACCATACCGTAGTTTCGTGAGAAAATCTCCAGTTAAAACGAATTCAGAATCGCAATTCGCCCTGGAGGATGGGAGGAATGTCTTCCCACATGGGTTTTTTTCTGGGTATAATGGAAGTGGTCATGTGGTCATTTAGTGAATCGCTCATTGGCGTCCCATATTCACTCACTGTCCGTTTAGTGCAGCTAGAAACTCACTCCTTTAGAGCAGGCGTTGATGCCAGTTTAATAGGAAGCATGTGCCCGTCCACATTATCCTTACTGCACTTCAGTAGCTAATTTGACGTATCATTTCCACCGACATTCGCGTTAACCACCTGACTGCAGTGTCCTACTGATCTTGTTACAAGACCCACTCCCACAAAACTGACTATATAATTTCCCCCAAGCAATGCGAACCAACTCACTGGCAGTGGAAATAGCTAGTATGCCAGCAACTAGTCTGCATCGAGTTCGGTTTTAATCTTGAATGGTTCTCGATCATCAAGAGCTTCGTCACTTCAAAATGAGGTGCATTTCCGTAAAATAACTGATGATACTTAATAGTCATTTGTAATACGTTTCGGTCAAATAGTATACACATCGAGAATACCTCCATAAGGTTTCTGAAAATTACAGCCCACAGGTCAAATAGTATACACATCGAGAATACCTCCATAAGGTTTCTGAAAATTCTTCGACAGCCCACAACCGGTTTTGATCTTAGGGCTCATCAGGTAGGCACAGTCCCCGAGTTTCCGCCAACCTTATTTTCTACTTGAACCCAAATTGCACCAAGTTAGCGAAATACACTCATTTGCAAACCAATTTGGTTTTGCGGGAGACTCACTGGCCACTTACGTAGCCACCTGCTAACTTCAGTATGTTTTTGCTCCATTCACTTAAGACCATGTATTATGGGGTCCTAAGTACACACTTCAGACATCACTTGTCCTTAGACACAATTCTTTAATACCCTATCTCCCGCAAATTTCAGACTGATTTTTACTCTTACATGTTCAACGATGATGTCTACCAGTGAACGATATTAGCATGAATGCATTCACTGAAAGTGTGTCTGGTTACGTGCAATGTCAAAGTCATGTGTTTCGCGTGAAACATCACAATGTCATTCTGCTCAAGTTGACCCAGAGAAAGAACTGCTTTTGTCGCCCATTCAATCATTTGCTGATACGTTGGAATAATGCCACTGAGACCGATGAGGAGAAATTGGCGCGGACTGTGTTTGTTCGCCAGTGCTCTGTTGGGTGTTCCGTTCAAGTGGATGGCCTGAAGAAGAATGTAATCTATAAGGGACAGGTGAGTTTCCATTGGTTGCTTGGTAATCCATTCTTATGTGTTGCCTGATGGTAATAAGACGAAATTTTGAAATGTGTAACGGGCTTCATCCTTCAAGTGAATTTAGTCTATTCTAAAGCCGGAAGCACTGTGTAGCCGTTTCATTTTTGTTGGGAACCACGAGAAGTGTATAATGGAAGAACCCCTAGGGAGGTTCGAACCCGTAACCTTGTCGGCTAGTATGTGAAGACAACCGTTCTCCCACTAGCAGCTGATCAGCAGTGTGATTGGCTCACGTTTAGACAGTATGGCGTCACTTATCCTCCATTCACGCGATTCAAGTCACTTGGTCACATGCTGGCTGACTCGCCAATGGTGTGTACGGTGTTAATTCGCTTTGATGAAATGGTTTCTCATTCACAGTAACCGTTTCGGCATTTATATATCGCCATGTCTCATAAAAAACAGAGCTTTTTACCCTTCTTCCTCCTACTATCCCAGTTCTGCAATGTTTGTCAACTTTTTTCACCCAACGATTCTTTACAATAGAAACACTCGAATCTGCTTATTTTACAAGCCAAATAAACGTTTTCTAATAATTAACGGGAACAGCTTCCCTGCTTGGGCTTTCTATGATTCGATTAAATAGTTCAACGTATACCTATCTTTATATTACTAAAGCTCAATGTGACGGTGCACTGCAATGGATTTGGCATGCCGGTTCGACCTTTTTTGGATCAACTGACAAGTTTGGTGCTATCATATGTGCTGGAAAATGAGGATAAAATTGATCCTTCTTATGTACACTTAGTCAACTTTCACACTGGTTTTCTTCCTTGCGACACATTCAGCGTGTGACCGTGGCGGTATAAACCCACCAGCGCGTATCAAACTCTCTCAGAATCTTGCTCAAGGCATTCCAACGTATCTAGGTAATCCAGGTTAATGCAGTCTGAATCAACTAGTTTACCTCATTCAGGAAAATTGAGGTGTGCTTGTTTTCCTGCCGAACGCTTTACCGTAGAGGCATGCTTCTGGCGACCTTCCAGGCAAAAACGTTCCAGAGTATCTCAACTTCATTGCCTTCGTCTTTGATAAACACTTGTAACTGCTGAACAGATTTTCGCGTTTGCTCAGATGAGATGAATCGGTTCTGTTTATTTGTCAGCGTAAGTTTTTTACCCAACCGGAAAAATTCACGCTTTTCTCTTCGTCAACATCCAGTCAGAAATAGGGGCACATTCTTTTTTGACGTGCTCATACACGTGTCAATCATCCGTTTTTTTTCCCGGACGAAAGTTTTCTATGAGGAGGATATTACGAAAAATCCGTCCTCTACTTCAACATTACTTCTTATTTTGACGGACAGCAGAAACTGACAGGGATCACCATAGCAGTTGTTCGGAAAATCAATGAACGACCAAACAGTGCCAAAAAACATCACTGCGATCACACATTCAATAGCCTACTCCATCAGATTTGCATTTTGAAGCGGTTTCGCTTTATCGGACTCATTATTTTAGTCTGTTCACATCCGATCCGAAATCCCGAATGCGTTTTCCTATCACCAGACATTGATTTCCTGGCCGACCTCTTACTGAAACCTCATGGTCTATCAGAGATACTCTAGCAGGACCGTTCTCCAATGAGTGTCAAACAACACAATCACATGCTGGAATTTGTTCCTTATTAAAAAGGACTGTTTATGGTAGAAGGTTACTTAGATTTTCATTCCATTTGTGACACGGTGAGTGTGACGATCCCGGTTTGACACAACCACGGCAATAAATGCATTGTATGTGTTCTCTCTAACGTTACATTCGCTGAGTAATGTCTGTAACCCACCATGCAACTGGAATCATCAAGAGTTGTTATTTTTCTTAGTAAAAAGTCGCCAGACACTTCGTTGTTGGGCCGTTCCATATTTCCTCTGGGTTACTTTCTATTCACTTCTTATCGATTCCTTGAACCAACGTTGGATTAGCATTGAAATATGTGTTCTGTCATTGTTTGCTGTAGCGTTTTTCAACAGCCAACCAAGTCGCTCAGCATCCACAAACTTCACCCAAAGAACACTGTTACGACAGAAAGTGAATACACAGTGCGGTGCAGTTTAGCAAGGAGGCGAAGCTGAAGAACAAGATGGGTTTTGGCAAACGTCTGTCCGGTTCCGAAGATATTTGTTTCCTTTTTTCAAAGTTACCCCACAACAAACACCATCACTAAGGTTTGAAGCTACCCTGTCTTTCATCTAACTGTAACGTCACGTACAAGAATACAAATGCGACTTCTGTTCGTCCAATGAAGAGCGGTTCAAAAAACGTTGAGTTGCACTTCTCTGATATGCTACACTGAGGCCATTT